TGTCCTGTCCCCATGTGTGTGCCTGCAAGCGTGCTCACGTTTGCTGTCTCCCTTAGCCCCAGTGCGTGTCTTGCTCTTAATAATTGCTCAGGTTGCCTGGCGGCTACGTGCACATCTCCATCCCATCTGTATTTTTCTGCTCAGTTACGCTCGCGTGCCTCGCCCTGCGTCTGCCTTCCAGTGCCTGCCTGCATCTCTGCTTGCAGTTGTATATCTCCTTCCACGGGCCCTTTTATCCGTGGTAAACAGGACAGGCACGTGCACCCAAGCCGCGTGCACCTAAGTTGTCTCGAATTGCACCGGCCAAGAGCCAAGACGAAAGGACAGGGAGGAGGGAGGAGGGGTGGAAGAAGTGAAGGGGAGCAAAAGGGCTTGTTGGAAAAGGCCTAGGGGACAGCCCAGCTTCTTGTTGCCTTTGCAGTGCTCTCATGGAAAAGATCGTCAGATAAGACTGCTCGTTAAGGTAACGACCAAATGCCTGCAAGCCACCAAGCTGGACGTGAAGAGAAGCTCTCCTTCATCCTCCCAGACAAGAAAGGGCGAGGGTGTCCCAAGGCTACAGCCTCTTGGGCTCATGGGGGTCAAGGGGAGGGGCACAGATGTGCATCAGAGCTCAGGCAAAAGGGGAGGGCTGAAGGGGAGTGGAAAAGGCAGACGCATGGCAAAAATATTCCAATTTCAGAAAAATGCAGGGTGAGCAATTATGGCTGTTTAAAATAGGAGTAACATTACACCCCTCCCTCACAGAGAAAGGGCAGCCGACACTGCACGACACAGCTTGTAAATACTTTCTCAGAACCTTGGTTACAAATTTGTCCCCTACACAGTGTTGCTGGCCACCACATCAGGAGCCAGATGAACTGCCACCCGCAGTGGGGGCTTCCTTGCTGTGCCCACAAGTCCAGTGGGGAGGGGGGAGGATGCTACACCAAAGGCATGTTGCAACTAAGCATCCAAAAGTGTTTGCAAAGGGCAGGGGAGCTGCCCAAAGGGCTGTGGCAGCTGTGGGCACCTTGTTGAGTGCAAAGGACCCTGATAGGCCAAATTAGAAGATGCAGAGAGGCCAGGTGAGAAACTCTGGGAGAGGAGGGACTGTCAAGGTTTCTGAAGATGGAGCTGGCATGGGGGATAGAGCAAGCTTCTGCATGGCCATGCCACACAAGTGGTCAGAGCCACTCTGGGGCACTGGCAATGCTGGCAGCATTCACATGTGCAGGAAGGCAAAGCAGCTGCTGTGCTGGCATGAGATGCAGGGGTGGGCAGAGAGGAAGAGGCACACAGGCAGGCACAGCCCACAAAACAAGATGAAAATGAGTCAGCTGTACCAGCTGATGACTAGGGGGGGTCCTGGAAGATGTCAATGTTTCTGCCTCACTTTCTGGAAAATACCCAACCTCGATGGAAAACTACTGCAGCAGAAGTCACCAGCACAGCCACAGTGGTGGCTGGCAGGAGGGCTGGTGAGACCGGCTGTGATTCTGCTTTGAATACCAGGCCAAAACCAACACAGCAGTGCTTGCTCTCCCAAATTTTAATACGACTGCTATAGAAGGGATGCCATTCAGATAGCCTCAGGCAAACTTAAGAAGCGGGCTTACAAATCCGAGTGCGAGGTGTTGCACATGGACCATTGTCTTCATAAACTGTTAAGCTGATTTCGACCTCAGAGATGTCTGCTGGAAGATCAGGACAGCAGACTGTAAGCAACTGAGGAGACTCCTGAAACTTGCTTCGCCTGGCCAGACAGCAGACCACAGCAAGCAGGATCAGGGCTGCTGCAGCGATCCCAAAAACCCACACAGAAGGGATCGTGGCTTTCTCTGCACCATTGCGACTCTCAATCTCCTGCAGCAGATTAACCAGCTCCTGGTGCAGAAACATCTCATGCTCCAGCATCTGTTTGGCTGTGGCTCCATCGATCTGGTGCCGCTGCTTCAGGCCAGACTGGATGATGCTTCTGGCCAGCAGAGCTTGGATAAGAGTGGTTACTGCAGCCATGGCCTAGAGGAGGTGGGAGGAAAGGCGGGTCATCGGGTCTGGATGGCAGAGAGGCACCTAGCACACCCCCAAAGCCTCTCTGGGTGTCTGCCATCACTGGGAGCCCTGAGCCCCTCTGCCACCAGACCCAAGGGCAGTATTGTGTCCTGCCCTGAAGGGCTTGTCTCTCTCTCTGTGGGTCAGAAACCTTCCCGGCATCTGACCTTTCCTCCCTCCGTCCAGCCCAGCCTTCCCTCTGCACGTGCACTAGTCACCTGAGTCCAACTGTGGTGGGTCTGGGGCTGCCTGCTGATGCTCTTGGTGACAGCTCCCATTGTGTCATATCCTCCATGATGTCACAGCCACCAGAGCCGCATCACCCAGCCAGTGCCCCAGGCTTTGTCGCCACCACCCAGCTCAGCGAGTCCTGGCCATTACAACAAGTGCAAACCCCACCTGCAGAAGTGAGCTCCCAGGAACTCACTTGACAAAGAGACTCTCCCTCCAAAGCCATAATTTAAATGAAAATGGGGACTGCAGGTGGATGTCCCTGACCTAGGTAGAGAGGTGCAATGTCTTCTGGGCCAGGTGGTCTGACTCCAAGTAACCTTGCAAAGCCTTACCTTACGAGCCCTTGGGCAGAGACAACTCTCCTCCCTCTCGTCCTCTTGGCTTCCTTCTGCTGGGGCCGGGCTTGGCCCTGCAAACCCTGGCAATCAAGCCAAATGCCACTTGTGTCCCTGGTGCAAGTGGAGAAGATCCTGTGGCTCCTGTCTCTAGCTAACTTGCCTGCAAGGGCAAGCAAGTGGGCTGGAGTGGCTATGCTGGGACTTGGCATTTCTCTGCTCCCCTGAGGTTTCCCCAGTTCAGGAGAGCCACCTGTACACCCTGCTGTGGATCGTGCCTCTCAGAAATGTGGTCTGTACTGCATGAGTGCACACCCTGAGACCCAGACAGCTCAAAAGCTTTCTCTAGCCTTGCTGCCTGTGCACCAAGACTAACACGGGAGCCACATTTCTGTCAGTTCTGCATGTAGAGAACCGTATGCCCAATGCACCTCCTGTCCAAAGCCTTCTGGAGGTAAAAAGAGGGAGGGCTTGGTAAGTTCAAGCATGCCCTGAAGTCCCTTTCTGTGTCGAGTCTCTCTTGTCAAGGTGGTGGAAACTTGAAGTCCCAAGTGGAGGGAATATGGAATAAGAATCATTGTGGTTGGCAGAGACCTCTAAGATCATCCATTAATCCAGCACTGCCAAACCCACCACAAAACCATGTCCCTGTGCAACATATCTAAACATCTTTTAAATCCCTGAAGGGATGGTGACTCCACCACTGCACTGGGCAGCTTGTTTGGATTCTTGACAACCCTTTCAAGAAAGAAATTTTTCCTAATATCCAACTTAAACTTCTCCTGGCACAACTTGAGGCTATGTCCTCTTGTCCTATTGTTTGTTACCTGGGAGAAGAGACTAACCCCTGGCTACAACCTCTTGGCTGGACTTACTAGCAAGGCTTTAAAGAAAAAGGGATGTACTTCTGACTGTCAGAGAGCAAACAGCAAGCCTTTAGAAAGCTGACTTTAAGTAAATAGTCTCAAAGCAATTAGGGAGGGCTCTTCCCAAAAGGTAAGGAGGCCAGTAGGCTGAAGTGCCTCTACACCAATGCACACAGCACGGGAAACAAGCAAGAGGAGCTGGAAATGATGATGCAATTGGAAAACTAGGAACTAATTGCTTTTACAGAAACATGGTGGGATGAGTTGCACAACTGGAACACTGAATTTGAGGGCTATGAACTTTCCAGAGGGGCTGTGCTGCTGGGTGCTGCTGGTGTTACTGGACCCAGACCCACTGCATGCTGGCCACTCCCCTCACCACATGGCTTTCCAGGTGTCCCTTGTTCCCCACAGCTGGAGCCAGCTCACCTCGGAGCAGCAAATTCCTAGAGATGCACATCTGTGTCCCTGGCTGCTGCATCCCATCATCCCCGCAGGGGTGCCTGCCTGCAGACCAGCCTGTAAGGCACACCAGTGCAGAGAGCAGCAGGGTTTGGCCTTTTTCCTTCACTTGGCTTGCTAATTTAAGGGTGATTGTTTTTTTCTACCCTTTCCTGCAGAACTGATGCTCATGAGAATTCAGTAAAAGCAGTGAAGCCACATGGAGGGCCTTGCAGTGGTGCCTGGCTCCCCTCCTGTCAGCAGAGGAGCCTTGTCCCAGGTTCCTGCTCACACTGGGCACATGAACTGGTGGGCAGTTTGGATTTTCAGCTTATTTCTGGATTTTACCACTAGTAGTTAATTTAAGAGAAATTTAAAAAAAATCAATGCAGCCAAGGCTGAAGTTCAAGAGAGGGATGCCTGCAGCTGCCAGTGCTCTCAGGTACAGCAGCAGGAGGGGACATCTTCACTGCTCACAGGGGAAGGCTAAAAAAAAAATAAATCTAATTACTTTTCTGTCCCTCAACCACCCAGTTAACTCCCCTTGCCTTCCGCTTGTTTCTTGCAGTCTAATTAAATTTCCTCAGATGGCCATGTTTCAGGACAGAAGGCTGATGTGGGGGGTGTGCAGATCTCCCAGTCCTCGGCTAGCTGCGGGGAAGGAGCATGCATTTGTGCACCCCCATGCTCCCAGCTTCCAGACTCTGTTCCTGGCTGCTTTGTACAGTGGGACAGAGACATAACCAAGGGCACATTGCAATCTCCACCGCAGGTTAGGAGATAAGCAGCCCTCTCTTAATGAGGACATGATATACCTGGCAAGACTTTACCCCTTGTGGGGAACAACAGGCTCTTTCACTCTGGGTCCTGGCACATCCAGGAGCGGTCGTGGGACACAGGGAACAGCAGTTGATAAATCAGCTCAGCACTACCAGCCATAGGAAGCCCAAGCTAATGGGGCAGCCCCACATCAGCTGTTGTTAGGAAGCCCTGGAATGTCCCACGTTGGATTGCAACAGCAATTGCAGCAAGACCACAATTCTGGAGAGCTACGGCTTTGCTAAAATTGGCTTTTCCAGAAGGCAAATGGGGATGGCAGCTCTCCAGCACCAGAGGGAAAGCTGCATTTCTGCCTCCAGTATCTGCCGAGGGAGGCCCATCCCGGAGGGAAAGGGCAGCATTACCATACTGAGAGACCTCTATCTGCTGCTTGTGAGGTAAAATCCCCGCTGAAAGGAGCCAAATTGTTACTGTGCATATCTAAAGGTACTGAATTATTAAGGAGAAGTGATCTCTTAAGGCTGCAGGTGGAGCAGAGAGCTTTACAGATGGCTGATATTAAGTGTAATGGACTTCTAATGGAAAACCACCTTATTGCTGCAGGATGGTTTCTCAGCTGCGGAGCAAAACAAAGCAGCTGGAGTGAATGTGGTACAGACCATCATTGTCCTGGGAATTACTGGGTTTGATAGTCCTTTACAGTTTTTTGGAGTATTGCAGTAAGCATGTGGTGGAGAGATACTCCCTTCTATCCCATTCTCTGAGAATATCCACAATCCAGCATTTACTTTTTCTGGATGAGCCCAAAACAGCCTTTCTGGGCTTCCACGTGATTAAGGTCATATAAGAGCTAGCTGTTGTTTCCAAGCCTCCCGAATTTGCCAAAATTAGGCTGGATTTGTGGAAACTGGCTTCCTAAGACCTTGGGCACTTCCGGCTTTGAATACCAGGCCAAAACCAACACAGCAGTTCTTGCTTTCCCAAATTTTAATATGACTGCTTTAGTCCCAAATGGAGCCACAAATTACAAAGTTTGTTTATCTGAGTGTTAGAGAGGAACCAGGAAACACCAACACTTTACGAAGCAGCAGGGAAATATTGTAAACAGTCCCAAAAGAATTAGAGAGGGCTCTTCCCATAAGGTGAGGAGGTTGATAGCCCAGCGGAAGTGTCTCTACACCAATGCACGCAGCATGGTAAACAAGCAAGAGGAGCTGGAAACCATGGTGCAATTGGAAAAGTATGAGCTAATTGCTGTCACAGAAACATGGTGGGACGATTCGCACAACTGCGACACTGCAATTGAGGGTTACGAGCTTTCCAGAAGAGATGGGAAGGAAGGAGGGTTGTTGTGCTCTAGGTTAAGGAATGGATGGATTGTGGAAAGCTGCCACTGAGAAACAGCTGTGAACAGGTTGGGAGCTTGTGGGTGAAAATCGAGGACTGGACCAACAAAGGATACCTTGTGGTCGGGGTCTGCTCCAGGTGCCTGATTGGGGGAGCCTGCTGATGAGGCCTCTTGCTTCATCTACAGAAGCATCACACTCACATGCTTTCATCCAGATGGAGAATTTCAACCATCCAGACATCTAGTGGGAAAGCAATACAGATGGTTGAGAGCAATCCAGGAGATTCCTGGAGTGCATAGAGGACAATTTCCTGGTCCAGGTATTGGACAAACCACCCAGAGGAGAAGTATTGCTGGACCTGGTGCTCACATATGCAGGTGAGCTCATCAGAGAAGTTAAGTCGAGGCAGTCTGGGCTGTAGCAACCAAGGCCTGGGTTGAGTTCATGATCTTGAGGAACATGGGCTTGGTGAGGAGCAGAGTGAACTTCCGAAGAGTGAACTTCCAGCTCTTTAAAGAATTAGTGGACAAGATCCCCTGGGAAACTGTCCTTAGGGACAGAGGAGCTGCCCAGAGCTGATAAGTCTTTCAGGCCACTTTTCTTAGAGCACTAAAGCTCTCTATCCCAGTGTGTAAGGAATCAAGCACCGAGTAACTCTTTGAGTGACCTGAAAAGGCCATTACAGCTGACTACCCTGCTGTGCTGGGACAAGGAAGCCTTTACTTCAAGAACTCATAATCAAATATAAGACGAACAGGAAAGATGGAATAACTAGGGTGGAAAGGAAGTCAAGGGCTGGAGGAAAGTGTGATGTGTACCAGAGCTTCAGGGACTGAGGCTTTCTATTCCTAATTAACAGACTCACTTGTCTTATTTTCTCCTCTGACCACCGTATGAGCCTTTTAAATATAGAAGGCTCCACCCTGGCTATGTACACAGCCAGCCTGGCACCACCATCCATCTCAGCTACATGGCCACAGGTCGTGTTTTCAGAACCACTTGATGGGTGGATTAATGGCTGCCTTTTTATTGCCAGCTCCTTAGCTTTCAGTGGGGTGGAGTGGGGGGTGGAGAAAGGAGAAAAATAAGTAATAAGAAAACCCCATATGTGAAGCTTTCAAGTCTCATGAAGGTGGATAAAAAAAGTCAAGATTTTATTTTTAAAATAATGTGTAGGGGTTTTATTTGCTGCTTAGTATGAGAAATGTGAGGCTTGTAGGTTCATTTTTCACACTTTCCCACACACACACCCTAGGCCTGGAAAGATATTTTATTATTTTTAAATGGAAATGTGGGGTTTTTCATAATTACATAGCTCCAAACTCTGGAGCTTTACTGGAATAACTACTCACTGTGGGTGCTTGTCAGTGATGCCCAGTGCAGCCACCCACGCAGAAATCTTGAGGTTTTCATCACATTTAAGATGAACAGCAGAGTCTCTTATCTTCTCTTTCAGGCTTTGAGAAGTAATATCTAATATGAAAATCCTAGAAGTGATTTACAAAAAACTATGATGGTTTATACAGGTTTGATGTACTAAACAGGTCAAATTGAAGAGGTTTGGTTTGGTTTGATTTTTCTAAAATTATTACTATCAAGAGGGAAACTACCCAGATTTAAAAGTTGCCTTGTATGTAACACAAAGAAAACCCCAGCAGGATGCAGAAGAAGGTTTGGGTGCAGACTAAGGGGAAGTCAACAAAAGGTATGCACAGACCTAGAGCTCAGAGGGGAGATGGAAATCGTCATGAATAGCTCTCTCCATTGCCTGCAGAACTGCAGCAAAGCAGCACTTCAGTCAGAAATCTCCCGTTAGAGCTGATGTTTCTCACAGTGGAAATCCAACCCCCCCGAAAGACAGGGAGGGATTGTTTTAACCTCTCGAGCAGAGCCAAGTCTCCAGCCGTGCTGCAACAGGCAGCATGCTGATCCGATGCTGTTACTGCTGCGGCACAGCTCCAGCCTCTGCTCCTGGTCCCACCCAGCCCACGGCCATAGGGATTTGACTGTGGCAGTGCTCCTGCTGCGAACAGATCTGAGATGGCCTGTTGCACTTTACATACAGCTGCTCTGTCCAGAATGATTCAGCTCACCCTGCCTTGCCAATGCCGCCTGTTATTCTTCAGGGTGACATGAGTCATTTGGTCACAGCAGCACAAGGCCAAACGCTTTGGGCTCCCTGCAGCTGGCTCAGCTGCACAGGCCATCCCCAGTGGGGCCATGCTCATCCTCATGCCTGCAGCTGAAAGCACCTGGCCATGACATGGGGACACATAGAATCATAGAATGGTTTGGGTTGGAAGGGACCTTAAAGATTATTTAGTTCCAACCCCCCTGCCATGGGAAGGGACACCTTCCACTAGTCCAGGTTGCTCAAAGCCCCATCCAGCCTGGCCTCGAACATTTCCAGGAATGGGATATCCACAACTTCTCTGGGCAACCTGTTCAGTGCCTCACCACTCTCACAGTGAGGGATTTCTTCCAAATATCTAATCTAAACCTGCCCGCTTGAAGTTTGAAGCTGTTCCCCCTTGTCCTATCACTACATGCCTTTGTAAGAAGTCCCTCTCTAGTTTTCCCGTAGGCCTCTTTTAGGTACTGGAAATCTACCTTGTGGCACAGAAGATGTGTATCAGGGCACACCATCATGCTTATAAGAGGTCCCATCTGCAGCATCCTATTTCCCACACCCCATCCCCTTACACACTGGGCAGGGCTGGCTGTTGTGCTGCAAGGGTGGGCAGGAGGAGAGGTATCCTGCTGGCATCACCTCTTTCCAGCTGCACCCAGGTTTTGCAGAAGGTTTTGGGGCTGGCAGCAGAGACAAGTTTTGCTGATGGAGCACAGGACAGCAAAGCAGAAGCCCAGGTGCCATCCCCAGGGCTGAGCCAAGCTGCACTGAGTGCCAAGAGGGAGTTACACCAACAGCCCACTGCTCTTTATGCCCTGGCTGCCTGTTCCAGGAAACGCTGCCCTCAAAAGTCACCCAGGGTAGAGCTGACTTGCTGACACAGGGTGGATGCAAACAGCATTTGCATAATTACTCTGCCTAAGTAACACCATGTGTGGAGTAAAGAGTGAGTGCTTTTCCTCTGCTCTGAAATAACTCCATTTATAGACAAGCTTTTTGAGATGGATAAAGCTCAAAACAGATCCAAGGTAGATGCAGTTTCCACACAGCACCATCCTAACTTTGTTGGACTGATCCCTGTGATCAGGGGAGCCAAGGGGTGCCCCAAATCAGAGCAAGATGGTAGAAGCACTATGCTAGGTAATGTAAGAGGCCCCCCTAACCCCCACCCCCCCCCGCCCCAGCTACCCTCTTTCATGGACTTTCCTTCCTTCTGGCTGGCACAGCACCAGCTGCCTCCCTGGGCTGGTATCTGGGTGAGTGGGAAGGAATTTGGACCCAGTGGATCTGACTGCCAGTGCTGTTAAGGACGCACACGCAGCCATCACGTGCCGAAAGCGTGGCTTTAGGACTAGAGATTGTATTCAAATTGCCTGGCTGCATCTGGACTCCACGCTGGCTGAGGACACCTCGCTTCCAGCACGCTTTCTGCCGTGATCAGCAACCTGGTGTCTGCACTGTGGTCTGGGGAAGTGGGGGCATGGAGTGGTCCCTCCAGCTCATCTGTGGGTTTAAAAGCTCTTCCAGAGAGAAGGACCGTGAGGCAGCTGTGTAAAAGACTGCTGAGAAATATTTAAATGTTTCAGTTTCCAGTGTAACTCAAGTCATTTGGAATGGAAAGTTTCCATTGCCCAATAAATCTACTACACTCACTTAAAAGGGGGAAAAAAAGGAAATGGATAACTTTTGGCGTTGGCTTGAGGAACGTAACAGTGCAGCGGAGTCACTGATGTGCTCCGCCCACCAGCAGGTACATGATGTTCTTGGCCCGGGCTGGGGCCAAGGAGGGGCACGGGGCAGGCACGGGGCAATGGGCACATTTGCTACCCAAGGAGAGCCTTCTCGGTCATGCTGGCACAGCTAATGCAGAGAAGAATTTAGGCTTGGATCAGAGAAGGTGGAGAAAAAAACACCCAAACCTGTGCACATTTGGATGAAATTAAAATGCATGAGAAATTTTTTAGGAAGGTTTCTGTGGAGGTGCCCATGTCTGAAACAACACTCTGCATTACCTGACTGTGAAAGGAAACACAGCCCAGGGGTGTAGAGATGATCACCTCTGCCTTCTGCCCAGGGAGGGCAAGTACCTACTGCCTTGGCAGGGATGGCTCTGGTGCTGGGGTGTCCCAAATCCAGGAGCCCCCTGCTTAAAGCGGGATGGAGGATCAGCTCTACCTGCCCCAGCTCCTTCTCCTACTCCCTACGATTGGGGATTTTTCCTAATTGCACACTTCACAGAGGACCACGCTCCCCCCAACAGGTTTTGGAGGGAAAGGAGGAGGCTTATGTGTGCCCGAACTGCTATTTTCAAGGAGCTCCCCGGCCACTCTGACTGCTCCAGAGGGGGAACACGGGGAGGGAAGGTGCCTCGCCCCCCCGCCCCTGCCCGCAGCCCGCCCGTGGGCGGAGGGCGGATGGCGGGGCTGCACTGCACCCCAGCGGCCGCCGCGCTCCGCAAACCCGGGATCCCCGTAGACTCTCAGGCTCCCTCCGCATCCCACGGAGCGTCCTCAGCCTTTCCACTGCGAGAGCCCCTAGCCCTCCCCGGTGCCTCCCTGTCAGAAAAACCTCTTCAGTGTTACAGCCACTTTAGTGCCCGAAAGCTTCTCCCGTTATCTCACTTCCCCTCTGTCCCAGTCTTCCTTCAGTAGCACTGCAGCCAGAGGAAGGGTTTGCTCAAGGACTCTAGGTGCAGGGTTTGCGGGGTGGGGGCTGTTTGCAGCAGACACAGGCACACACGTGTAAAGCAAGTTAACAGAGCGAGACCCTTGGCAGCACCTTCTTCCCCAACACCAAAGAGACACGGGGCGCAAAGGAGAACACAACTAAGGAAAACTGGAGCTGCTCCCCCCCATCTTCCCACTGCTTGTGAATCTTCCAGGGGAAGAAGTGGGGGGATGGCACTGCGGCGCTCTGAAGAGAATCAGGGGACACGTGTTGGATATAGGGCATGATCTACATGCTCCCTCCCCAGCTTGCAGACAACACATCCTACAAGCTCAGGGAGCAGAGCAGGACAGCCAAAAGGGCTCTCCCTGGAAGGCCTTGGGCAGAGCTTGAAGCTGCATACATGCTGTCACCCTGACGGACACCAGAGCACTCAGCTGCCAGCAGCAGGGCTGGAGTGATGCTCTGCCCTCCATGAAGGAGAAATAAATACAGGGAGGTCCCCCTTCACCTGCAGGTGTGGCTGCAGTACAGAAACTGCCCCCAAATATAGCATTAGACCCTCGGTGTTTTCGTGAAGCTGAGACACAGGCAGGGCTCTCACCTGAGCTGGCTGGATCAGGAAGCAGAAAGAAGCGCAGAGAAGTGTGGTCTCCCTGAGTGGGATAGCATCCATTCACACCCTGCCTCTGTGTTTCTGAGCAGATACTGACAGTAGTCCAGATACTTATGTAGCTTCCTGCCCAGGTTAGAGGAACAGAATTACTGCAAATACTGCTATTTCTGGTCAGTCTGAGAAATACCATCTTTCCAGTCACTCCTGCCCTGTTGCTGGGACCACCTTTGAAACAGAGGCCAGGGCAGCAATATATAAAATGCTTTTGTCGTGTCAATCTTGCATTTACAGCCGGAAACTATTGAAAATAATTAATGCTATTTACGTTCAAGGCACAAGAAATGTTGCAGACAGAGCACTGCAATTTGCCAAGAGATGGCTCTATAATCACCAAGAAGGATTTAAACAAGCAAACAGGAAGGAAACCATACCATTAACAAAATCAAATAACAACAGAGAGAAAAACAACACAGCATCACTAGCAGCAGCAGCAGCAATGATGTGGGTTCATGTCTTGCCCAAGCCAGGGAGAGGAGAGGGTCTGAAGATGCTTTGGGGATGTTGTGGTGATAAACTGAAGGAAGAAAAAGAGGGAGTCCTGTTGATTTTAATGGTCATCTTTCAAAGCACTACCATATGTCTTACAAATGTTTCAAATAAGACCCCTGCACCACATTCGACCAGGGCTTGATAGGGCTTTTACAGTTTATAAGAGGAGACCACTGGGAAAAAATCAATAAAGCTAAGTTTGAATTGCAGCTTTTTATAGAATGAGGTTTAGACAGAGCTGTTGTCCAACATTTGTAGGTAAGAACCATTACATTGTTCTCATATAGCTCTGCTGTCAGCATTACAAGACTCTTGCTGGGCTGACATTAGTGCTTCTGTCTGTTAAGCCCTAGACTTTGGCACATATTGTGGTTTTCCTTTATTGTTGATCACAGATCAGATCAGTTTCTCTGTGAACTGAGAAAGGGATGCATCTGTTCATACCTCCAAGTTTGGTGTGAAATTTCAGTGTCGCTTAGCACAGCGAGTTTATGGATACCTGACCAGCCTCTCAAAGAGCTATGCCTGCAGTACCTTGGTGAAGCAGAAATGT